GTTGTTGAAAATGGGACCACACATTGTCATGCATGTGTCTTGGACTAAATCAGTATAATTGACTGGTGACAAACCTGGCCCCTGGGGCCACACTGTCTGGGTCTGAACCCAGCCTTTTTTGTAAAAATAATAATCTATTTATTTGCGGTCATAACCTTGGCAGCCTACTAGGCCCCTCTGTATCCAACTGTCTCCTTTATAAACTTGAGAAGGCAAGAGTGCTGACCTTATAGGGTTTTTGTGAGGGTTAGAGCTAAAACCTGAAAAGCATTTAGAATAGTTGGTTATTGTTTAGCCGCTAAGTCATGTCCAACTCTTCGCTACCCCACTGACTACAGCCCACCAGGCTCCTCTGTCCATGGGATTTCCCAGGCAAGAATGCTGGAGTGGGTTGCCATTTCCTTCTCCAGGGGATCTTCCTAATCCAGGAATCAAACTTGTGTCTCCTGCATTGGCACATGGATTCTTTACCACTGAGCCACCAGGGAAGCTCATTAGAATAGTACCTACACCCATTAAATGTTAGTTACCCATAATTTTCAGGAGTATCTTATTGTATGAATATACAATATAAAAACCTCAATCTTTAAAGCAACATTGAGGATTCTGGTAACAGGGAGGATAAATATTCAGTAGGGTATTTAAAATTAATATCCTATTTACATAATTTAAAATACAGACCTCAATAACACAGTGACTTTAATGGGTTCAGTTTGGCTTCTGTCACCAGATAGGTTACAGTCACCCTCATGTTATAGAAAGTAATGATTTGTCTATTGGTTCACATGAGTCATGTAGCTAAACACCTCTTTGAAAACAAATTTGTGAATTAGTGCTTGGAAACACTGATAATGTACTGAGCTATTTCCTAGGGGCCTGGAGGGGTTTCTCCACCTTCTGAAGCACCTGAGAAGCTTGGAGTAACTTGTTTTGTGAAGACGGTTTGGCCTTTTGAACATCTAGTGTGCATACTGTTCCATCCCCATAACCATGAAAGACAGCTTTCCAATGAAAAAAAAATTCATTTACTTTTTGAATTAGTAAATTTGTAATTCAATTTCCTCCTGGCACTTATATGTCAGTTTTTTGGGCCATTACAAGTAGAAAATTTATTTCTAGTTGATTTGGGATTAACTGGAACCCAATTAACCAGAAACTTTCGTTAACTGAATGATTTCCCCACATTGTCTTCAGAGGGGAGAATGTGGCACAGCAAAGTTATATCAGAGATTTTGTAGAAAGAAATGTCAGGGTTATGCCCAGAGACTTTCTGTGTGACACTCTCACTCACTCCTTCTCTGCAGCTCAGAGTTGTATTCAGTATGATGCGCTTTGTGGCATCCTGCAAAATTATGGATCATAAAATAGCATTCACTTTCAATTTTATTAGTAAGCTGGAAAAGGGGGGGCTAATGAATTTTAGGAGGGTTTTCAGTAGACAGGGTGGAAATAACTCTACACATTGCATTTTCAGAACAGAAGAAAGGGAATGCCAGTGTTTGTTTTGGCTGAGGCTTCCTCATGGCCCAGGTAGCCATCAAAGTCGGTTTGTATGACTACAAATGGACCCTCAAAAAATGGTTTGCTTGGCTCGGAAAAATAATTTTTGGATGTAAAATTCTCAACTGGATTTTTTGCTGTTAATTAAGGCTCTAATTAAAATGTTGGGTAGAACAAAGATCGCAAATTTAACAATTTACATTTTAATGATAAATCAGAAAGTCTCTCTTCCCCAGGCTTCCCTGTCCTTCACCATCTCCTGGAGCTTGCTCAAACTCATGTCCGTTGAGTCAGTAATACCATCCCAACCATCTCATCCGCTGTCAGCCCCTTCCCTCACTGCCTTCAATCTTTCCTGGCTTCAGGGTCTTTTCCAATTAGTCAGCTCTTTGCATCAGGTGGCCACAGTATGGAAGCTTCCGCTTCAGATCAGTCTTTCCAGTGAATATTCAGGGTTGATTTCCTTAAAGATTGACTGGTTTGATCTCTTTGCAGTCCAAGGGACTCTCAAGAGTCTTCTCCAGCCCCACATTTTGAAGGCATCAGTTCTTCCATGCTCAGCCTTTGGTGCTCAGTCCATATGATCACTTGGACCTAAACCTTGTCTAACTCAATGAAACTATGAACCATGCCACACAGGGCCACCCAAGATGGATGGGTCATGGTGGAGAGTTCTGACAAAACGTGGTCCACTGGAGAAGGAAATGGCAAACCACTTCAGCATTCTTGCCTTGAGAACCCCATGAACAGTATGAAAAGGCAAAAAGATATGACACTGAAAGATGAATCCCCCCCCACCCCCGCCCAGGTTGGTAGGTTCCCAATATGCTACTGGAGAAGAGTGGAGAAATAGTTCCAGAAGGAATGAAGAGGCTGAGCCAAAGCGGAAACAATGCCTACTTGTGGATGTGACTGGTGATGGAAGTGAAGTCTGATGCTGTAAAGAACAATAGTACATAGGAACCTGGAAAGTTACGTTTATGAATCAAGGTAAATCAGAAGTGGTCAAGCAGGAGATGGCAAGAGTGAGCATCAACATTTTAGAAGTCAGTGAACTAAAATGGACAGGAATGGGTGAATTTAACTCAGATGACCATTATATCTACTACTGAGGGCAAGAATCCCTTAGAAGAAATGGAGTAGTCCTCATAGTCAACAAAAGAGCCTGAAATGCAGTACTTGGGTGTAGTCTCAAAAACAATAATGATCTCGGTTCATTTCCAAGGCAAACCATTCAATATCACAATAATTCAAGTCTGTCCCAACCACTAATGCCGAAGAAGCTGAAGTTGAACAGTTCTATGAAGACCTACAAGACCTTCTAGAACTAACACCAAAAAAAGATGTCCTTTTCATCACAGGGAACTGGAATGCAAAAGTAGGAAATCAAGAGATACCTGGAGTAACAGGCAAGTTTGGCCTTGAAGTACAAAATGAAGCAGGGCACAGGCTAACAGAGTTTTGCCAAGAGAATTCACTGGTCATAGAAAACACTGTCTTCCAACAACACAAGAGATGACCTTACACATCGACATCACCAGATGAAATCATATTGAGTATATTCTTTCTTCTCCTAATACATTATGATATTTTAAAATAACTTACTGTAGGGGTTGGAATTTCCAACAGTCTACACATCTAGCCCTTTATTTAAATGCTGACATCTTTGGGGACTGCTCTGGCAGTCCAGTGGTTAGGCCTTTGCGTTTCCACAGCAGGGACCTGGGTCCGAACCCTGGTGAGGGAACTAAGATCCCCAAGCCTTATGGTGTGACCAAAAAAAAAAAAAAATGCTGATATCTTTAAAAGGCTGCCACGCTTTCAGCTAGCAGCCACTATAGAATCCAGTCTGGGTGTTGTCATTGTTCAGTCACTCAGTCATGTCCAACTCTGCCACCCCATGGACTGCAGCATGCCAGGCTTCCCTGTCCTTCCCTCTCCCCCTGTCATCTTCTGGAGTTTGCTGAAACTCATGTGCACCGAGTCAATGATGCTATCTGACCATTTCATCCTCTGTTGCCCCCTTCTCCTCCTTCCCTCAGTCTTTCCCAATATCTTTTCCAGTGAGTTGGTTCTTCACATCTGTTGGCCAAAGGAAGTATTGGAGCTTCAGCTTTAGCATCAGTTCTTCCAATGTATATTTAGGGTTGATTTCCTTTAGGATTGACTGGTTTGATCTCCTTGCTGTCCAAGGGACTCTTCAGAGTCTTCTCCAGCACCACAGTTCGAAAGCATTAATTCTTCAGTGCTCAGCCTTCTTTATGGTCCAACTCTCAGATCCATACATGACTACTGGAAAAACCATAGCTTTCACTATATGGACCTTTGTCAGCAGAGTGATGTCTCTGATTTGAATAAACTGTCTAGGTCTGCCATAGCTTTTCTTCTAAGGAGCAAATGCCTTTTAATTTCATGGTTACAGTCACTGTCTGTAGTTATTTTGGAGCTCAAGAAAACAAAATCTGTCACTGTTTTCATTTTTTCCTGTCTATCTATCTGCCATGAAGTGATGGGGCTCGATACCATGATCTTAGTTTTTTGAATGTTGAGTTTTAAGCCAGCTTTTTCATTCTCCTCTTTCACCTGCATCAATATGCTCTTTAGGTCCTCTTCACTTTCTACTACTAGGGTGGTGTCATCTGCATATCTGAGTGTTACTATGATCAAAAATGTCAGTCCAGGAAGCCAAGAGGACTGTGGCTGCTAAAAGATTTCCAGCACCCTGGCAGGCATCTCTGGAAAAGATACTATCTACACCTGTAAACACTACAGAAGAAGTCTCTCCATTGCGTGGAGGCCCAGGAGAGAAGTTCCTTTCTCAATGTTGTTTTCAAAAAGTAGATGATTTTAAAATTAGGGTCCAGGATTTAAACTCATTTTATACACTTCCTCCCTGTATAAATATTCATGATAAAACTTTACTTTTAAAGATTCCAAGAAAGAAAAGTCAGAAATTACTGACACCCTTTGATTACTATCTATAATTCAAATGAAGAACATAGCGTTTTGTTAATACAAGATATTCATCAGAGAAAAGCAAGCACGGTTGCTTCCTAAAGACGTATAGAAACTCGTGAACAAAATGTACCTCCACTTACCAAACAGTCCAATTTGAGGCCCTGCAAGGACTGATGGGAGATAAAGAATGCTAGAAATGGTCAGATTTTTTCTTCTATTATTAAACTAGAAACTAGGAATTTAACAGGAGCCTCAGGTTTGTTGGCAGTTAAAAAAAAAAGAAACAGGATTCCAACTGAGACAGTTTCTAGTTTTGATGTATGACTCTCATTTTCAATTAATAGAGATCAAGATTCAGAAATACATATTAACATTCTTTTATTCATCATATCTGTGCATTAGTCTTATAAAGTGGCTGGAAAAAAGCCGTGCATTCACCCAGAAACCGAACATCTCAGTATGACAAAGAAAAGTGCTACTAATCCTGATTCATTACTCATCCTGTGCGTATGCACCTTTTCTCCAACAATAAGGATTCTTACCTTGTGGTGAAAGTGGGAGGGAAATCTGATCGCTGCCTATGTCCTCATACTTGATGTCTACCTGTGGGTAAAACGAGACATTTAATTACTGACACTGAATAATACTGACTTATTAAATGTTAAATAGGAAAAAAGTAATCTACCTACCGGAGGTGAATGATCAACACTTGTAGAAGATGTCAACACTGTTGCCAAGTTCATTTTGGATTGCACAAATAAAGGTTTAACTTTCTGAAAGGCACAAAGGGTTCATACCATTGTTATCCAGGGGAAATAAAGATCAACTCAAATGAAGGTAGAATGCTCTTCAGTCCTTAGTTAACTGAGATATGAAAATTATGCTTCTAACTTAATGGCTCAAATATCACTGGGGAATTAATTTCCTTTAAACCCAAGGAATGTCAGACTCTTTGTGACCCTATGGACTGATGCCTGCCAGGCTCCTCTGTCCATGGGATTTCCCAGGCAAGAATACTGGAGAGGGTTGCCATTTCCTCCTCCAGGAGATCTTCCCGATCCAGGGATCGAAACTGCGTCTCCTGCAACTCCTGAATTGCAGGTGGATTCCTTCCCCACTAAGCCACAAGGAATAGATCCCTTCCTAATCCAAGCTACTTTGTGAGAAAATTCAAGCAAAAATGTTTTCCTCAATGTCTCTTCTGACTCTACTTCCTTCCGATTCTCCCTATGCCATTTGGGATTTACTCCTTGTAACTGGTCAGGTATCACAAGGTCATCTCCAGCACTATTCAGTTCCTGGAAGCTACACAGTAGTGGTCCTGGTTCCCAGGACCTGAAGAGTGAAAACACAAAGGCAGCTCTTCTAGGAGTTCAGAAGCAGCAGCACATAAGCAGAACAGCCACCAACATCACATAAGGCACAGTAAATCATGACATTAAAAATATGCTGGTGGAAACGACCAAAAACACACCAAGCATTATTATCAAAAAGAGGTCTGAGGTCTGTGGGTGCACCCTGGGAATTTATGTGACGTTTTCCCTATTCAAGGCTTCTCTCTTGTTGGTTTGTATGTATGCGTACACATTTGCATGCATTTTTCTATCCCCCTACAGCCTGCTCCCACTCCCTTTTTGTTCCCCTCGACAAATAAACCATTTAAACATTTATGTGAGGACTCCCTTGGTGGCCCAGTGGTTAAGACTCCGAGCTCTCAATGCAGGATGCCTGGGTTCGATCCCTGGTCAGGGAACTAGATCCCATATGTTGCAACTAAAGATCCTGCATGCTGCAACTAAGACCCAGCACAGCCAAATGAATAAATAAAAAGAAATACCTAAAAAATTGTAACCTTTGGTTGAGAAGAGAAAAAAAACAGAAGAAGAGACTATCATATATATAGATCAGTTTTGGAAAACTTTGGGGGAGTCAATAATTAAAAATCCTTAGCAAGTTTCTCGAATGTGTGCATGTGAAGTCGCTTCAGTCATGTATAACTCTTTGTGACCCCATGGACTATAGCCCATCAGGCTCCTCTGTCCACGTGATTCTTGAGGCAAGAATACTGGAGTAGGTTGCCATGCCCTCCTCCAGGGCATCTTCCCCAACCAGGGATCGAACTTGAGTCTCCCATGTCTCCTGCATTGGCAGGTGGATTCTTTACCACTGAGTCACCTGGGAAGGCCCACCCCCCCCCACCACATAAATATACATATAATAACTGAATCACAACATTGTAAATCAACTATGCTTCAATTTTTAAAAAGTCTATTTTAGAATTGGGCTTCGTCTATAGGTTACTTCTAGTGTGAAAATGAATGACCTAGTACTAGGAACAGATTCTTTTACCTCCTTTTTCCATTTGGAAGTGACTAGCTACTTGGATCTTCAGCTGTGATTGTTCCATCCATGCCCACAGTGGTCAGGTTAATAGATTCCTCCCAGGAGGAATGAGTCACCCTCCTCTAAAATTTTCACTTGCCTCCACTATAGCTCAACCATATTGCATGGGAGCCATTTGTTTACACATCTATGTGTCATACTACATTGAGCTCTTTGGGTTCAAACACTGTCTTATGCTATCAGCATCTAGCAGAGTGCCCCCTGTACTATCTCCAGAGCTAAGATCAGGGATTCTAAAAAAGCTAAGTTCAAAAAGGCATGTTACAGCTGCATCAAAGAGACAAAGTGCATCTACCCCAATATGTACTTACAACATAATTGAAGGATGTATCAGCCAGCACTGCAAACTGACGAAATAATGTGTGCCTAGTAAACATCTCATTCTTAAGGACATGAAAGCTGAAATAAAACATGCAATAGAATTAAAATGAGCAAAAATCATAGGAAAGAGCAAATTGGTATTATGTTCATGTGATGAGAAACTAGAATTTTCAATATAAGAGCAAAGAAATGCAAGTAAAAAATTTTAAATATTACTATGAATTTATCACACTTTTTGGTTTCTAAAATTATATATTTTCCAGCCCTGAAAAGAAAATAAGGAGGAATAGCCTTATTAATATTAGATATTAACATATATCACAAAATAATAGTATAGTAATATCCTGGAAAGGAAAAATAAATGGAATAGAATGGGAAGTCTGAAACAGATTCAGGAATATACTAGAACATAGTATGTGGGCAAAGTGGCACCACAACCCACTCCAGAAAGAACTGGAATAAAGACCCAAATATGAGGGGTAAGTCAAGAAGGCTTGTCTAAAAAAGTGGGAGAATATCTTAATGAAGATGGAGAAAGATTTTCTAAATACATCTAAGGAAAAAATATTGATGGATAAAGATTAAGAATTTCTGTACAATAAAGGACAACATACACAAAGTTCATAGACTGGAAAAAGGTATTTGTAACATCTAAAATTGACAAAGAATTAAAAATAAGAATACACAAACAAATTTCACAAGCTAACAAGAAAGCAAAAAGATGAAAGGAGTTCACAAAAGAGGAAGATCCTTTAAAGGGAAAACATCAGATCAGTAAAAGCTTTGAAAGTCAGATACAACCAAATATTAGAACTCAATCCTTGTATCTCTCTATTTTTCTCCAACACTTATTCTTAGCTAATCTCATTTAATCCCATGACTTTAAATACCATCTATACTAATGCATCCCAAATGTATGCCCCCAGCCTCAACTTTCTTCTGAGTTCGAGACTCATATATTAATCTGCCACTAGACATCTACCTTTAGGTTACTAAGAGGCATCTTGAATTTCACATATCAAAACCAATTTCCTGACAAAATACGCTTGCTTGTTTGAAGTTGAAGGCAACTTCATCCTTCCTGTTGTAAAAAATCTTTGCAATCAAACTTGACTTCTTTCTTTCCCCCCTTACTGCCAATCTTTCAATACCTCTCACTTTCAAAACATATCCCACATTTAATCATTTCTCAACACCTCCACATCTCCCATCCCAGTCAAATCCCCATCATGTTTTGCCTAAAAAAGGCTTATTGTTTTTGGAGCTTCTAATTTTTCTCTCTGGCTTTCCTTTGGTTTCCCTATGGCCTCACATCAATACAGAAGTCAGAATTATTCTTTCAAGACATCAGATCATTTGGGTCTTTCCTTAGTTCAAGACACTCCAGTGAGGTTTCAGGGTACCAATTCATTATTCTGAGTATTGATAAACAAAGAGGATCAAGCATTTATCTTGCCTCATCTCATCTGAAACTATTTTCAGGGTAACCAGTTGAGGGGAATGTTTTTCTTTGATAGAACTTAGCTAAGAAATGCAGAAGGAAAGATAAAATTGAAGTATTAACAATTTGCCATCCTAATGAAATCTTGACTCATGGTTTGTGATTATTAATGGGTGTTAAGATTATTTGGGGAAAGGTCAATTGGTAAACCTTGACATTCATGAATCAGGCTGATAACATGATTAAAATAACAAAGCCAGACACTAAAGTGCCCTATAATGGGATGCATAAGAATTACCTAATAGTTCACATGAGGTAGTCTTGCCTAAAATATTGAATCTGAATCTAATCAACTCTCTAGATTTAAGATCAGTTTGTAGGAAATACAGACTGAAGAACATGCTAAAAGGCACCACAGACACATACACACATGCGTGTAAACAATTAGCCAAATCCAGAATGGGGGACATTCTACATAAGAAATGAACACATTTCTCTAGCAAATCAATGGATTGGAAAAAAAGGGGCTTTTGTGGGATCATTATAGGAAAAAAAAAAAGATTTAAAGGATGTAACACCCAAATGCAGTGGTCTACCTATTCCGGATCTCGATTTAAACAAACAACTATAAAAGATTCCCTTGAGATAATCAAGAGATTTGAATATGACTTGGTTAATAAGCAATGCTAAAGGATTTACACTGCTAGGTTTATTAGGTGTGGTAGGTGGCTCAGAGGTTAAAGCGTCTGTCTGCAATGCGGGAGACCCGGGTTTGATTCCTGGGTTGGGGAGATCCTCTGGAGAAGGAAATGGCAACCCACTCCAGTATTCTTGCCTGGAGAATCCCATGGACAGAGGAGCCTGGCAGGCTATAGTCCACCGGGTAGCAAAGAGACACAATTGAGCGGCTTCACTTTCACTTTTTCACTTTACTAATGACCTAGTAGGCATGTAAAAGAGATTTTCTTATCAATTAAAAACAAGAGCTCCTGGGTTGGTGAACATGTGGAGATATGAGAGCAGCATTGCCCAGGGAGCATGTTTTGAGAGCCCTCCCACAAACTCTGCCCTGGGCATCTCTTCCATTTGGCTGTTCCTGAGTTATATCCTTTTAAAATAAACCAGTAATGTGAAGTCCCAGAGTGGACTTCCCTCAAGGCCGAAATGTTGGAGAAATTTATTCAGGAGACATGGGTTCGATCCTTGGTCCGGGAAGATTCCACATGCCATGGGGCAAGGAACTCTGTGTGCCACAACTACGGAGCCCGTGTGCTGCAACCACTGAAGCCCGGGTGTCTAGAACCCATGTTCAGCAAAAAGAGAAGCTCACAGCACACCGCAACTGAAGAGTGGCCTCTGCTTGCCTCAACTAGACAAAGCCGGTGCACAGCAACGAAGACCCAGCGCAGGGAAAAAAACAAAAATGAAAAACGAAGCTTCTAGTGATTTCCCATCTTGGAGCAAAACCTCAAATGTTCTTCTTCTCTGGGCTCTTCTACCACTCGCCCCTGCTCATGTCACTCCAGCCATCTGGTGTCCTCACTGTTTCTGAACACAGGAGCCAACGCTCATCCCAGCACTTCTGCACATGAGGCTTCTTTGGGGAGAGCAGGGGAGTCTCTTCTAAGCACCAGACAGCACGCCCTCCTCACTCATTCAGATCTCTATATCTGAAGATAACTATTATCATGTGCAAATAAGCAGGAAAATGTTTTAATAGGCCTATGGGGGAAGATAACTGTGTGGGTCCGATTAAACCAGTTATCAAGAGCGTCTGTCCATCCTGTTGATTATTTACATTTAAACACCGAGATCGGGAATAAAATAGAGTTTGGAATTTAGTTTTTGTTTGAAGTGACTTTGACTACTCTTCTACTTTAGGTCAGTTATTTTGCATTTCTTATTAGAAGCATGTGATGGCATTTTATATTACTTAATACACACAGAAAAATGCTAGGCTCCCAATTTCCTTAAAAGATGATTAGTCACATTTTTAACAAATAGAATTTGTATATATCACCACACTATACCTGTTCCTGAGAATTAAGAATTTCTTTTCCCAGTTTTTGCTGATATGTTCTGATTCATTTTTAATCCTGTAATAAATTTATAGATGGTTATATATATGCAGTATGTATTAGCTGCAAATGAACAATTATGAATTATTATTAGCAGTACCTTTCTGACTTCTTTTTCTCTTTCTCTAACTTAGACTTTAACACTTGTATTTGCTCTTCCAAAACACGTTTCTCTTCTTCAATCTTTCAATAGAAGATACATCACAAAGTTAATGAAATGAATCCTGTTTGTATTGTTTTATCCATAAGTATGAAATGTTATTTCTATTAAAAGCATACCATCAAAAATAATTTGAGAGAACAATGAGTTACATTTACTTGCAAATTCCCATAAATTGGAAGAATGTAAGATCCCATGCCTCCATTTCCCGTAAATGATTCACTTCAAAGCAGCCACTGTGAGACAACATTAGGAAGCAACCAAAATTTTTCTTCATCACCCCTCCCCTACTAGGTATCGCTTTTTCTAAATCTCTTCATTAAAGTGGCAGCTGCCCCCAGTTATTATATTTACTCTCTCTATCAAAACTATCCTCAGGAAAGGATCTGACCAACTCAATCACATTAGAGCTATATGTTATTTCCCAGTATTGTTTATATTTTACAAGGGGATGAAGTTTTGGCATAGGAATGAATCTATGACTGTGGGGTTATAGGCATGTCATGAAATAGGTTTCTTTGGATGCAGCAGGGAGATGCCCCAGAATCATACTTATAGAGGCAATCGCTCTGTCTCTTCATTAGATTGACTCTTGGTGTAGCTTTCAAAGTCATCGCTACTTTCTCAGAATAGTCAGCATCCATATAAACAGTATTTAGGTTAATAAAAATGGTCACATTAGTCATTACTATACCTTAGCCATTGATGCTTGCATCTTTTCCCCATGCATCACAGCAGGTACTGCATGTGTAGCCTGGAGAGAAAATAAACTAAGGTAAATATAACATTTGAAATCAAGGCATAAAGATGTGGTTTTTCTGCAGTTTAGAGAAAGGCAAATGAGAAAAATTATGCCAACACTAGTTCCATAGGGATCTTGACTGCCTCAATTAATTTACAAGACTAAGGGTTTACACGCTGCATTTGCAATTGGACAGTTACAATTGATTAAAACCAATGTTCCCACTATTGCTCTTTAAAAAACTTGTTTTAATGCATTACTCTGAAACTGTATATGGGTCATTGTACCACTATGTATATACTTTTAAATAAGCAGGCAGTTATCACCCAGTGAAGTCACAAGCTTTAAAAAAAATTTTTTTTCCTCAACTATCTTTTGGATTACATCAAATGAATCCCAGTTATAGATATAAAAATGCTGTATTTCAAAATGCTTAAGTAAATCACTTGTACTTTTTTGTTGTTTAGACTGTAATGCATTATTTGCTCATTTATTTAATAATAAATAAACTTTGTTTTTAAGTTTATTTACTTATTTGGCTATGCCAGTCTTGAGGGGGTCAGTTCAGCCAAGCAGGGTCTGAAGCCAGGTCTGCTGAATAAAGTGAAAGGAATCCAGCACTCCCCTGAGCAATGAGAAGAGCAATAAGAGGAGAGGATGGCCAGGCAGGACCCTAAGGCAAGAGGCGCTGGTGTATGGTGAAGGCACAAAGTGACTGTGCCCAGGCCTGATGCCCAATATTCAATGTAAAATGGTATCTGGGTGATGCAAACTGTCCCTGTCACTCACCTCCGGCAACCTTGTCCATCTTAAAGGTGTCCTGTGAGTGAATGGTTTTAGTAGCCATTGAAGAATTGGGTTGGGTTCAGAATCTGATTCAACAAAATGTGAACTGGGACGGCACAGAGTGCCATGAAACTCAGGAAGTGACTTGTCTCAGTAGGAGAAGGAGCCTGAACACAGCAGTAGACATGAGAAGACGCCGCGGGCGTCTGCGGAAACCAGGGGACACCCTGTCGGCTCCCACAAAGCAAAGAATGTAGGCTTGAGCCTACTCTACTTACATTTGAAGGGACAGTGAGAATGCGACTGACATTAGTTGCCACATATAAAAAGTGACAAAATTTGCAATTAATAGTCATAAAAGTTATAATTTTTTGAGTGTCTACTATGTGCCAGATATGTCACACATATTGCCATTTATTCTATATACTAACATTAATTTCATCATCCCTGTTACTTAAGATTTTTAATGATGGAGAAGGCATGCACATTTAAAAAATGTAAGTAGCAGATAGTATACATGAACATAAATTCTCACTTCCAAGAAGCCAAAGGTTTTGCTTTTAGTTTTTCTCATTGTTATAATTATAAATAAATAGTGACCTTTATTGCTTTGGGCTCTTCACAAATAAAGATTAAGATTTAGAGCATTTATTTATTATATAGCACAGGGAACTATATTCACTATCTTGAAATAACCTGCAATGGAAGAATAATCTTAAAAAATACAGCTGAATCATTTTGCCATACACCTGAAACTAACACAATACTGTAGTGTTATACTTTAATTTTATCAATTTTACTTTACAAATATTATTTTATTTTACAATTTTACTTTTAACCAATTATACTTTAATTTTAAAAAGTAAATAAAAATAAAACCAATGGGAAAATTTTTTAATTAAAAAAAATAATTTAGAGCATTCGAATTACCTTCTACCTTCTCTCTTTCCTCACATGCTCTATTTTTTATTTGCAAATGTTTAGCTCTTACTGTGGTTGCCTTTATTATGGTTTCAATATATGAACGTCTATGTCATGATCTATGAACCCTCTGCTGATAATTTCTGATTATCTCCTGGCTGATAGGCGAATTCTCAGCAGGGACTTAATCCGGAACTTGACCCTAACCCTCTGCTCTTATCTTAGTTCACTCAACTCTAACTCCTATTCCATCAGTCCCCGCGTCCTGCAGTTTTCTGGTGGTCCTAGAACTACCCAAATTATTGTTCCCTTGGTTGTCTCCACACCTTCCTGGAGAAAACTACCACCTACCATCACCAGCATAGTGACAGTCTCCCCAAGGCCCATGTGGCAGGAAAGGAACCAAAAACAAAACCGGAGGCATGGCAACACTAATTTAACAAAACAGTGAAAGTCTTCATTTTCATCAGCCTTTCTTGCCTTCCAATGTGTGGGGATCACTCAGGTTATGGGAGGCGTGCACTTTGGGGGCTCCCTCCCCCTCTCTGTTCTCAAAGAGCACAACCCACTTGAAGTGCCCCCCTGACCAGGGCACAAGCAGTACACACTGCGTACTCTGCCATTTGGTTAACAGGGGACCAAAGAAACCGGAGGCATAAGAGCCCCAGGCTTTGGAGGGGCTGCATGCAAGTGGATCTGCCTGCCAATGCAGGAGACACAGGTTGGATCTCTGGTTCAAGAAGATTCCACAGGCCACAGGGCAACTAAGCCCTGTGCCACAACTACTGAGCCCATGAGCTTCAGAACCTGCACTCACCAACAAAAGAAGTCACCATGTCACCCACAAGAGAAGTAACTGCAATAAGAAGCCCAAAACTATTGAGCAGCCCCCCCTTGCCACAACTAGCGAAAGCCCATGCACAGCAGCAAAGACCCAGTGTGACCAAAAGTAAAAATCAGTGAATAAATAAATTAATTAAATGAAATAAAAAGAATCCACAGAAAGTTAGGAAAACAAACTGGCAAAGCAAAATCAGTTTCCACTGAGAAGGACATTTATATTTATTTCACTCTATCCAAAGTCATATCAGTAGTTGAAAGTTTATTTTAGAAATTGATTCTGTGTTTAAATTCGTGTACAGTAAAAGTTAGTTCCAATTTTCAAGGCTCCCTTTTCCTGACTCTCATATAATGATCAACTCTGTAATAACTAGAGGTAAAACCCTGCTAAAGCATATCTTATGTAGAGCAAATAATTATTCAATCTCTCCCAAAGACAATACTCTTAGCATGACAAAGATAGCTTCTCTTTTCATTAAAAAAAAAAAAATGTACTGCATGTAGACTAGAGTGTTTGCTCTCCAGTTTGACTTGAACTTTCAACTCTGCTGTAGCACGTTATATTGAATCCTGACTCTGTCCACATTAAACTGTCATTTTGTTTTGCCAGCTGCTGGCATTCCACTTTCACTGGAATACATGTGCTGGTCTTTATGTGGTTACTTCATTGACAGGTGCAAACACCGGACTGCTAAACAATAGATAGAGGTGAAAATGAGTGGTAATAGAAAGTAGATAACTTCCTAAGTAGGACAATGTACATTAAATTATTACAAGGAAAACCAAACATTGTGACTAGAAATAATTCATTATAAATATTTCTCATATTCTCTTGAATTTACTTCAGGGAGATTCTTTACCATGTGAGTCACCAGGGCTTTATATATATATATATATATATAAAACTAAAATCCATAAAATTAAGAAATAAGTTTTATTCATAATAGAAATCATGATTCTTAAATGTTTCCCATATTTAAGCATTTACAACAGGTTAAAAACCTACATTCAATAAATATAATCTAAATCTGCAATCACTAGCCAAGGTTTCTATTAATAATAACAGAAGCACAATTATGTTTATTAGCTGTCATAAGATCAACTGTATTCCTTATCCTACCCCCTTTCTCCTTTTGTTCTCAATCAAAGAATCATTACATTCTTTAATTTCTCCCAATTTCTACAAACATCCCTCTTCTGAAACTTGGGCCATTCATTCTGGATTTAATACCTCCTTGAAATCTCTCCTTTAAACCATCAAATATATTACCATCAAAACAATGTTTCTAACTCAGGAAGAAAGATGATTTTCTGTCTCTAAAGTTTCATTAATCTTGACTTTCATATTATCATTTTTTCCTAATTATCTTCTAAGCAAACTACTATTTTTGAACACTATTGTGCCAGTGTGTGGTGGGTAGTGCAGTGGGGGAGGAGGGGCATGGAATGGAGAAAAACACAAGCGTAGGAAGAGAGGAGGAACAGCCTCTGCGTAGAAACAAAATGGTAAGAGACCATTAGCAAATCGACAGAAATTGCTTAAGTAAACTGTTACTTCTGTGGAGTGAAATACTATATGTAATTGATTACCTATATATTATATATTCAGTGGCACTGAACAGCCATCTGACTGGGGGGATCTCAGTTCCCCGATGAGGGATTGAACCTAGCTATCAGCAGTAAAAGCCAGAATCCTAGACAAAAATGTCGTGTATCTTAATTAGAATTCACTTGTATATTTTCAGCTAGAGAGACATATCACCAGAATTACTCCTTAGGTTGTTCAGGCTCATGTCTATCAGTTCTGGTGGTGTGAAGTCTAATACGGGTTCACCATAATGCTTTCAGCCACTGGATTAACTGGACTCCATGGCACTTCATGGCCCTGGTTACAATAACTCCTTGTTCTATTCTGGATAGAACAGAGCACTATCTCCCACTTAGAAACTTGTGAAGGAGATATTCAGGCTATTTTCAAAATTTTCAAAAAGCCTAAAAATCAGTGTACCTTGATTCCCTAGTAAGGTTGCATAGGCTAACAAAATGAAAGAGCTCTTTGGATTTGGCTGGCATAGAATCAATTCAGAGAGCTATCCTTAGTTACCTAAGGCTGGCTGGAAATGCAAGTTAGCAGTCACAGGTAACAGGTGAATAAGGGGAAACGAGTAGCTTTCCTTTAATTAGTTCATGTTTCTGAGGAACAGAGACCACACTGAGGCATTCCATGAAGAAAAATCTATGAAAGTACATTCCTAGAGAAAAGGAAATTGACATATGCCATAATTTATAAAAACGAAACCCTTGGATTTGAGGAGAAACTTGGGACCTAGGACTGCAGAGGTCAGGGCTGAAGAAGGTGACAAGGTGGAAGAGTTGGATCCAAAGAGGATGGCCGAGAGCCCAATGCTGGCATCGGGGTGGGGTGTAGCTACCTCAGGCCGATGCTGGGGAGTGCTGGTATTGAAGTTGTTCTGTGAGGTCTATCTGTGATTGAATTCACAGCAGAACTGGTGGATGCAATGACGGCAGTTAGATGAGTGACAGCACGTCAAACGGTCAGGGGGTGAGACCCAAGTCTGGCAGTGTCAGGGCTCTGACCAGATGACCTGGTGTTTGTGACTGGCCCCGACTTCCAGGGAGAACTGAGGAGAAACCCGTAGCTAAAACCCAGGAAAGTGGAATAAAGCAACACGCTGCAGTGAGGAGTCAGAAGACTGCCCTGGGAGCTCCTGAGCGACATTTCCTGCTACTACCAGGTGACATTATTAATTAATATTAATATTATAAATTCATGTCAGGACCTAGTGTCTGCCCCATGGTTCAGAGTGTCTACAGAAGAATAGAAATTGATACAAATCTCTTTTTCCCCTGGTTTCCATAGCAATATCTTAGGGCTTTAAATTAAATTACACTAAGATATCATAAATTTTACAAGTAAAATGTTATCATTGTTCCCCAATTAAAATAAACAAGAAGCAAAGCGTAAAACCCTTCAAGTGATTTAACAAAAAATTTTTTTCATTTGTGCAAGAAACATCGGAGCTTATTTTCACCAAAATATTTTCAGTTCCAAATATACTGTGAGTACTTATTTATCATCAAGCTACTTAGAATAATATAATACAAAAGTCAAAGCCACCTTTTGGCTGAATTTTGAATGTGATATTTCTTCAATTTTTCCATTTTGGTCTCTGACAGCAGAATCTAAAGATGCATTCACTTTAGTGGCAAATAACAAATTTGATTTTAAAATAAAAACAAGTAATTGTAGTGTATGATTTCAGTTATCTCTACATTTTAAAGTTATTTCTATTTGGGCCTTCCCTGGTGGTCCAGTGGTCAGGACTCGGTGCTTTCACTGCCATGACCCCCAGGTTCAGTCCCTGGTGGGGGAATTAAGATCCTGCAAGCCTCTTGACATGGCCAAAAAAAAAAAAAAAAGAGTTATTCCTATTAGGAAACAAAGATTCAGTATGATTAGGAAAAATTTTGTTGTGTCAACATAATCAATGGGCTTCCCAGGTGGCTCCAGTGGTAAAGAACCTGCCTGACAATGCAGGAGACATAAGAGATACCGGTTCGATCCCTGGGTTGGGAAGATTCTCTGGAGGAGGGCATGGCAACCCACTGCATTCTTTCCTGGAGAATCCAATGGACAGAGGAGTCTTGTGGGCTACAGTCTATAGGGTTGCAAAGAGTCAGACACGACTAAAGCGACTTAGCATGCAATCTATCAAAATACAGTAAATTCCCTCTGACAGCCTCTGAAGATTGTATACGTGTCCAGGACGGTCCCAGTTCTGTATCACTCCACCACCATGTAGAGGGGTGGGGGTACAGATCAACAAAGAGCAAAACGCTGGCTTTTTCACATAGCTCTGCAGAACTATGAACTGCCTGCTTTATCAAGCCAAGCCCAGAGGAAAAAAATGATGAAACAGTGAACAGATTATATGATTTTCTTCTCTGATGGAGTTTATTTTCCACTTCATGTGCAATTCAATCCAGTAAAAGGAATGTATAGGAGAGGAATAGGGAAAGATCTTCCTTTCATCCACCTTACCTATAATATTCTATATCCATAATAATTCCACATCCCATAATAATAATAATTTTTAAAAGTTACTAGCTTGCAGGATGACTATGGTCATACTTATAAAACTATTGCAAAGTACTTCATCTTGCAGTTCTTGAATTGTTTAAATAATAGTGTTCCAGAGTTTTTATGAAAGTTTTTTTTTATGCTGTCCATATTGCTTTGTATCGGGTGAAGTTTACGGATGGGAACACGACTGACTGTCCCCTGTCCCACTTCCCACACAGGAAGGTCCTGATGCTTTCTGCAGATCTAAGCACACGCCATATGTTCCATCAGCACAGACAGGTGACCCCATGGAAGCTCAGAAGTCTTCCAGAGAAGCATTTACTGGGCGCAGCCTTAATTCACTAATTACCCTGGAGCAGGGCTGGGGGTGCGGAGAGGGGGAAGCTAGGAACCCAGTTTTAACCTTGTTCTGTGAAACCTCAGTATTTGAAATGTTTTACAGCTATCAAAAAATAAACTTTACACAAAAACGCTGTCCAAACACAAATTTCACGTTGTGAAATCTTTCATAAATGGAAATCAGACAGCAATGTTCCTATCACACTTTTCAGACTGGCTAAATACTCCGTTTATCACCGTGTGCGCCACTGGGTGAAGCACGTGTGCTGTTCCCACAGAATGACACAGATTTCAAAAAATAAGTATGATTAATTAGATAAGGTAAATGACTGATGTAAAATGTTCCTGCAGCAAGCCCTCCTTTTGGTCATCTACACATGGTCAAGATGATAAAACCCTTGAGAGACAATTTTTAAGAAGTCCGACTACCTCGGTATTGACAAAATATTCAAGAGTTCTGAGAAACAGGAAAATGATAACCAGAGTACATATATGGAGAATTCATCTACAATGAAGAATATACCGCATGGGGAGGTGATGGAAGGGAACACTCACTATAATAGGATTATCATTAACAAAAGTGAATATGAAAGTAATAACAGTGTGGTAGAAAAATATATTTCACATTAAAATCAAGTCAATTCCTATGAAAATGTTAAGTCCAGTTTACGTCATCTCTCCCCTCCCCCGGTCCAATTTTTACTTACTGTTACACATTAACTTCTGAGTCTCTGCAGCTGACAAAATGTACTGTTAAGCTTTAGAACATCTAGATAACAATCATTACGGTCAGAAGGAAAGCCTGGGACACTTAAGAGAAAATCCTCATGACACTTTCTCAGATATCCTTTCTCCTCATCGTGGTGTTTTGGTTTTTTTTTTGGTCTTCCCTTCATGATACATTTTCCCTGGGGGAGAACAGGCAGTATTTTTGCCCCTTGTAGCTGGGACTTTGGAAGCTCAGTTTTGATCTGTAAACAGGGGACACTGGAGTATCTAGTCTGCAATGCTAGGATTGAGTTAGAGCCCTGGGCTTTCTGCAGGGACCAGGCTGCTCTGTCTGGGTTTCTGACCCTGCTCTGCGATTCTCCCACCATCATCTCAGAACCTCAGACCACAGACCCCTGGCACGCACCCCGATTTCACAGCAGCTCAGAGGTTTCTGGAACACGATGCCACCGTGGCCACAGGCTCCCTACGTCTCAGGCTTGAACTAGAGCCCCTCACCCAGTAAGGCTGGACCCCCCACCCAGGTTAGCAGGCAGCACTGCAAACTCAAGTCCAGCATTTGCTTTTTGCCTGTTTTTTTTTCTTGTGTGTGTGGACTTCCCCCTGTCCTGCCTCCCTCAACCCCCACTGCCCAACATACTTCCCAGACCTACATTCCAAAAAATCTTACTTTTGGAATCCAGTCACTGGTCAGGCGTGCACCATATTCTCCAAGTGTCATTCTCCTCATTGGGAAATGACATTGGTTTCCGGCTGTTGATACTTGCTAACTCTCTGCAGAGTGGAAGTGCTTATCGGGGAGAGTGTTTTTTTCTCAGCTCCTGGGCTTTCCTTCCAAGGGGAGTGACTCCCCACTGAGCATCACACCTGGCCTCCCTCCACCTCTGCTCCCCTCCGCTGGGTTCAAGCAGTGAGGCTCCTGCCTGGTGAGTGCTGGAGGGAGGTTGATGCCTTTTCCTGCCCTCTCTGGAGTCAGAATGACACAGTGAGCCAGATTCTACTCTGTCCTCCTGCCCTGAGTGCTGAAGCGGTAGACTCTGCCCTCTGTGAGAGGAGGAGGAAGAATGTGGGGACATATAGCAACAAGAGGCTGGGAAACCAAAATGTGCTAGTGGACGGACTCTCTCCAGGAAATGCTGTACCTTGCAAGTACGTGTCACCAATCAGCATCGAAGCTTCCAAATGGTGTGGAAAAGGAGCTATGACCAGTTGCACGATTCACAGTGCCCACAGGATAGATCAATTGCTCAGAGAAATGCAACTATTTCCATAACTAGGGGAGTACTGTGGCAGTCCAGTGGTTAGGATTCTGCACTTTCGCTGCTGACGACGTGGTTGGGGAACTAAGATCCTACAAGCCTCTGATAGATACCGGGCAGTCATGAGTTGGAGATTTTACACCTTGAAAGTGCTTGGAAGGTGGCTTCTCTATCTTACTAATTTAACAGAGATCCACGAAGGCTTGGTGACTAAGACAAATAAACCACCAAGCTAAGCACAGAGGTGGCATCCTCCTGGGTAAGGTAAGGGGCCTGATGAGCACACACTGGTGTGGAAAGAGCAGCCAGAGCCTCCTGTCCAGATGCCCACAGAGGTGGCAAGGAGAATCGAGTGTTTGAGACACTGGCCTTGCCGCTGGACCAGAGGAGCAGCGCTGAGGTTGCGGCAGTGCTCACAGCGCCCTCTGCAGGTGAGGGTGTCACGGGCTGCGAACCAGTCTCACCGTGGGTGGCTCATCCTTTAAAGTCTTCTTTGGAGTCTTGACCCTCTTGGTCTTAGAAGGCGATGAACGGATGGAGGAAGAACGTTGCCTCAGAGAACTTGCACCTGCACTCTTGGGCTGTGAGGGCCACTGGGCTGAAAGGGTCTCTTTCCCCTTGGTGCTTCTGGGGCTCTGGCACAGAAGAAGAACCATTCTGTTATTAGCCATAATGTTATTCTCATCTGTGTTTCAGATTCACCTCCCTCTCTTTGGCTTCCTTGCCCTCCTCTCCTGAGCTAGAACCACAGGGTGGAAGTCTTCAGTCCCAAGGGGCCTAGATCTAGTCTTGTTCCCAGTTCCACCATCCCTTATCCCCCAAGCCCCAACCCTGCCTGATTTAGTCTGTGGGTGGGGCCTGTTTTTCCATCCCTCCCACTGATGCTCAAGTACTGAGACAAACATACCAACAGATCATTGATTTCTGAAAGTCCCTGGGAAGGTGGGATCTTTGTGGGGTGGGATGAGGTGGTAGCTTGAGCAGTGTTTCATACTCCTAAGAAGGCCGCGGGCGCAGGGCTGGCAGGTAGAAGCCACGGGACAGGAGCCGGAAGGGCCAGGGCACTGAGCCTGGGGTCGGGACACCAGTGACACCTCCTGCGCGCTCTCTGCCCTCGCGGCTCTAAGCTAAGCCCCAGGTCCTCGCCTCCCACTCACATGCCTTGCCTCACTTTAAGCATTTTCTCCTTCAAACTCAGATGCAAGAAAGTGAAAAGCCTCTGGATGGTATGTATAGGTTCTTCAACTCAGATGCCCAAATATGAGATGAACAGAATAAAAGAAAAAGAAAATAAAGAACTTAAATGCCAACCTTGGCAACTATAGCGTCATACTTTCTTCTCATTTCAAGGTCCTCTTTCTGCTTATTAACCTGTGAAATTAAAGACCTGTGTCATTTGTTATCACTTGCAAAGATGAAAAAAGAGAATATGCAGTAAACCGTCCATAAGCAATGAAAGAGTAGCATTTTAAACCATTTTGCTGCCCAAACTATTATGGGAATATAAGTCACAATATTGAATATAAATAAATTAGAAGAGAAAATAAATTCGCTCCCAGAAGAAAAAGTACTTTGTAATAGAGCTTATAGGAAAACATGCAATTGTTTGCTTATGTGTTTTTATTAACATTCTTGTGTGCCAGGCACTGCACTGTGTTGCTATTCAGCCATACTGCATTAGGCTCTTAGAATAACTAATATAGACAGAGGAGGCTTGCTGGCTACAGACCAGGGGATTTTCAAAGAGTCAGACACAAATGAAGCGACTTAGCATACACACAAACCTTGCCTTCAAGCATTTAGGTTCTAGCAGAAAATGAGTTTCAAAAAGGTTCAATTAAAAAAAAATTACATATACCAAAAATGTATGCAGTGCAAATATAAGTTAGAAGTAAAATTAATATGACCATCTGACAAGAAAGAGAACAACAGCCATAGTGTTAAAGCTCTCTGTGTAATTGACACGATCCTATAACCACCTCCAAACCGGGAAACCACTATTCTGAATTTTGTGCTTAGAATTCCCCTTTATTTTCTTGATTAATTTTTTGTCAGGTTTATAGACTTACCACTTCATCCCATTGGTATCCTTAAGCAACCTACAGATTTAGTTCTGCTTACTTTTAAACTTTTAAAAAAAAATCATAATTTATGTGTTCTCCCTTAATGTGTTCACTTTATAGCTTTTGAGATTAACCCTTGTTGATACTGGAAGCAGTTCATTCATATTTGCTGCTGTATACTATTCAAGAGAACAGTACAGCATAATGTATTTATCCATGATGTATTTATACATGATGTATTTATTCCCTGTCAATGAACATTTGGGAAATCCCAGGTTTCTTCTTTTATATACAATATGGCTTTAAATATTCTGGAACCTGTTCCCCCAGGCACATGTGCTAGGATCTCCTTGGTGATGTTATATGCCTAGGAACAGAACTTTGGGGCATATTTTAAGAGAAAGATCAGCTTCAGCAGATAACCCAAATTTGTTTTCCAAAGTTTCCATAACAACATACATATTCCCCAGCAGTTTATGAGAATTCTTTACTCTATATACTTAACAGCATTTGGTAGTTATATTATTCCTGAAACCAAGCACATTTTCAGTCAGTGTTCATTGGTCACTGGGTTTCTTCTTTGGTGAAGCGCCTGTTAAAAACTTCAGCCCAGATTTCTATTGGGTGGTCCTTTCCTTATTGACCTGAAGGAGTTATTCACATATTCTTGAAAGCAGCTTTGTGAATACATAAATGGTGTGAATATTTTTGCAAATTTGTGGCTAGATCTTTAAAATTTCTTTGAGGCATCTTCTGATGAAAAGGGGCCCTTAATTTTCATGGGGTTGAATTTTATTAATCAATTTATTTGGCTGCACCAGGTCTTAATAGGGGCACGTGAGATCTTTAGTTGTGGCATGTGGGGTCTAGTTCCCTGACTAGGGATTAAACTCGGGTCCCTGCATTGGAAGTGTGGAGTCCTAGCCACTGGACCACCAGGGAAGTCCCTGAAACTTTTAATCTTCCATTTACACCTTGTTTATTTTGTGTCTTATTTAGGCAATAATTTTCTACTTTGAGCTTACACAATTTTCCTCTAAAATTAAAAGAAAATCTCCCTTCATATTTGAATCCTTAATTCATACAAAATGGATATGCATGTTATGAGGTAGGGAGCCAATTTCATTTGAGGCAATTGTTTAATCAATTGTCAAGAATCTTTAGTGAAAATTCAACCCTATTTGCACTGATCTGTGGTACTGATAGATACTGAGTATTTACGTATGTCTGGTTCTGCTACTGGGTTCTCAATTTCCTCCCAAAGCTCTGTCCATGTCCCAGGATCATGATGTCTTAATTACCTTAAATTTATATTAATAACTCACAGAAGTCTCTCCCTACTCCATCATGTCATTATTTCACCTTGTTTCTTAGCTATTCTTGACCCTTGTTCTTCCATATTAATTTTATTTTTAAAAACTTTATTTATTATTTATTTTTGGCTATGCTAGGTCTTCATTGCTGCTTGAGGGCTTTCTCTAGTTGCGGCAAGCAGGAGCCGGCTGCAGTGCGTGGGTTTCTCTGGTGGGGGCTTCTCCTGCTGCAGAGTTTGGGCTCTAGGTGCGCAGGCTTCAGCAGTTGAAGCTCCTGGGCTCTAGAGTTGTGGTGCATGGGCTTAGTTGCTACGTGAGTATATACAAATCAATTTGTATATACAAATCAATTCAGAGATAACAGTTAAACAACATGGATCTTCTGAATCATGAACATGGTATGTTTCTCCATCTACTTAAGTCTTAAACTTCGGTATTTCATATGGTTTTGTACATAATTAATCACATTTATCCATAACTATTTCACATTTTTATGCTATTGTAAATCAAGTTTTTTTTTTTAGTTGGAGGCTAATTACTTTACAATATTGTAGTGGGTTTTGTCATACATTGACATGAATCAGCCATGGATTTACATGTGTTCCCCATCCCGATCCC